CTCATTGACAGGGCTGTAGTGGAACAGGTTGAGAGCTTCAAATTCCTTGGTGTCCACATCACCAACGAACTATCATGGTCCAAACACACCAAGACAGTCGTGAAGAGGGCACAACAGAACCTATTCCCCCTTGGCATGGGTCCTCAGATCCTCAAAAAGTTATACAGCTGCATCATCGAGAGCATCCTGACTGGTTGCATCACCGCCTGGTATGGCAACTGCTCGGCCTCCGACCACAGGGCACTACAGAGGGTAGTGCGTACGTCCCAGTACATCACCGGGGCCAAGCTTCCTGCCATCCAGGACCTCTATACGAGGCGGTGTCAGAGGAAGGCCCTAAAATATTGTCAAAGACTCAAGCCACCCTAGTCATAGACTGTTCTCTCTGCTACCGCACGGCAAGCGGTACCGGAGCGCCAAGTCTTGGTCCAAAAGGCTTCTCAACAGCTTCTACCCCCAAGCCATAAGACTCCTGAACAGCTAATCATGGCTACCCGGACTATTTGCACTGCCCCGACACCCCACCCCATCCTCCTCTTTTTACGCTGCTTCTACTCTGTTTATTATTTATGCATAGTCACTTTAACTCTACCCACATGTACCTATTACCTCAATTACCTCGACTAGCCGGTGCCCCCGCACATTGACTCTGTACCGGTACCCCCCTGTATATAGCCTCCCTACTGTTATTTTATTTTACTGCTGCTCTTTAGTTATTTGCTATTATTAACATTTTGCTTTTGGTAAAATGCATTGTTCATGAAATGCAGCACAATCTTACCTTATCTTGCCTGTCTTCCAGTAAATATGATCTCTACTCATCTGAGGCAGAGTGTCACACACAAGAGCATCTATTTACTTTGTGTCCTCTGTAGCTCAATTGGTAGAGCATGGCGCTTGTAACGCCAGGGTAGTGGGTTCGATCCCCGGGACCACCCATACGTAAAAATGTATGGACGCATGACTGTAAGTCGCTTTGGCTAAAAGCGTCTGCTAAATGGCATATTATTATTATAGATAAACACACTTATCCGTGTCAGCTGAGAAAGTGGCAATAGTGGATCAATATTGAAACAATGAACTGGAAAAGGCAATCCAACGCATTCATACCATGTGATTTACAAGACTTCCATTATGCCTGTACAGCTCGTGTCAAACTCATTCCACGGAAGGCCGAGTGTCTGCGGGTTTTCACTCCTCCCTTATACTTAGTTAATTAGCAAATAACTTCCCTCACCTGGTTGTCTTAATTGAAAGGAAAACACAAAAACCTGCAGACACTAGGCCCTCCATGGAATGAGTTTGACACCCCTGCTGTACACAGAAGTAAACGTAAAAGGCTCATGTGACAGCTTGAGAAAACAATGTGTCTGGAGAGCTGCTGGTGGGAGGAGCCATAGGAGGACAGGCTCGTTGTAATGGCTGGAAAGGTTTAAATGGAATGGAGTCAAACGTGGTTTACATGTGTTTGTTTTGTTTGATACCTTTGCATTTATTCCAATCTAGCCATTACAATGACCCCATCCTCCTATAGCCTCCCACCAGCCTCCACTGAGCTACAGGTTGGCAAAACTTCCACCGGTGCTCTGGAATGGGAAATCATAGATTTACAAATTCAAATCCAGCTATAGGTGAAATAGTTTGAAGAATCCATTGTCCACACATTGTGGGTTTTAAAGTTGAAAGAAATCCCTTATTTTCTGGGCATAGAGCATATGAAAAACACCTACTTGTTTCAGCATAAAGCCTTCATCAGGTTGTATGTCTTGGGCTACATCTTACCATACTCTTCTTCCATGGGTCCCAGGAGTATAACTGAGGACAATGATCTCTTAAAGTGGCGATATGTAAATTTTTGGGGCGACCCTACCAAATTCACATAGAAATGTGAGTTGTAGATCTATCATTCTATTTGAAAGCAGGTCTAAGAAGTGGTAGATCTGTTCTATGTGCGCTATTTCTATGCTTCCCGTTCTTAAGTTTCGTTTCGTTTTTGTGTCTTTTACTTTAGTTTTTGTACACCAGCTTCAAACAGCTGAAAATACAATATTTTGGGTTATGGAAAATATATTTCACAGTGGTTTAGATGGTACAATGATTCTCTACACTATACTATCTTATTTTGTCACATAAACTGAAATGCGTCGAACTATTCGAGTTTTAGAAACCAGGAAATGACAATGTTTCTGGAGATCTACAGGTAGACAAAACTGGAATGGGAAATCATATATTTATAAAAGTCAAACAGACAAATTGAAATCCAACTACAGTGTGAAATAGTTTGAAGAATCCGTTGTGCTAACGTCAGTTTTGAAGTTTTAAAAAATCCCTTATTTTCTATTCTGTTCTCTACCCTTCTCCCAAAGTTATTTTCTGGGCATACAGCATAATAAAAATACACCCGTCACCAAGGTTTAAGTCATGGGCTACATTCTAATTCCCCATCATGGGGTGTCAGGTAGCCTAGCAGTTAAGAGCATTGAGCCAGTAACCGAAGGGTTGCTGGTGCGAATCCCCGAGCCGACTAGGTGAAAGAAATCTGACGATGTGCCCTTGAGCAAGGCACTTAACGCTAATTGCCCCTGTAAGTCACTCTGTATAAGTGTCTGCTAAATGATTTACATTTAATATAAATGCAACAATTTCAAAGATTTTACTGAGTTACAGTTCATATAAGGAAATCAGTCAATTGAAATAAATTCATTAGGCCCTAATCTATCTCACATGACTGGGAATACAGATATGCCTTTGTTGGTCTCAGATACCTTTAAAAAAAGTAGAGGTGTGGGTCAGAAAACCAATCAGTATATGGTGTGACCACCATTTGCCTCATGCAACCCTTCACATAGAGTTGATCATGCTGTTTATTGTCCCACTCCTCTTCAATGGCTGTGCAAAGTTGCTGGATATTGGCGGAAACCGGAACATGCTGCCGTACACGTCGAACCAGAGCATCTCAAACATGCTCAATGGGTGACATGTCTGGTCAGTATGCAGGCCATGGAATAACTGGGACATTTTCAGCTTCCAAGAATTGTGTATAGATCCTTGTGACATGGGGCTGTGGATTATCATGCTGAAACACAAGAAGATGGTGGAGGTATCTCTGTGCATTCAAATTGCCATTGATAAAATGTAATTATGTTCGTTGTCCGTAGCTTATGCCTGCCCATACCATAACCCCACCGCCACCATGGGGCACTCTGTTCGTCTGTTCACAACGTTGACATCAGCAAACCACTCGCCCACACAACGCCATACACGCTGTCTGCCATCTGCCCAGTACAGTTGAAACCGGGATTCATCGTTGAAGAGCACACTTCTCCAGTGTGCCAGTGGCCATCGAAGGTGAGCATTTGCCCACTGAAGTTGGTTACAACACCGAACTGCTGTCAGGTCAAGACCCTGGTGAGGACGACGAGCACGCAGATGAGCTTCCCTGAGACAGTTTCTGACAGTTTGTGCAGAAATTCTTCAGTTTCATCCGCTGTCCAGGTGGCTGGTCTCAGACGATCCCGCAGGTGAAGAAGCAGGATGTGGATGTCTTGGGCTGGCGTGGTTAGATGTGGTCTGCAGTTGTGAGGCCGGTTGGACGTACTGCTAAATGTTCTAAAACGACGTTGGAGGTGGCTTATGGTATTGAAATGAACATTACATTCTCTAGCAACAGCTCTGGTGGACATTCCTGCAGTCAGCATGCCAATTGCAAGCTCCCTCAAAACTTGAGACATCTGAGACATTGTGTTGTGTGGCAAAATTGCACATTTATTGTCCCCAGCACAAGGTGCACCTGTGTGTTTTTTTATTTATTTTATTTATGTATTTAACTAGGCAAGTCAGTTAAGAACAAATTCTTATTTACATTGACGGCCTATCAAAAGGCAAAAGGCCTCCTACGGGGACGGGGGCTGGGATTAAAAATATAGGACAAAACACACATCACAACAAGGGAGACACCACAACACTGTAATGATCATACTCTTTAATTAGCTTCTTGATATGCCACACCTGTTAGATGTATGGATTATCGTGGCAAAATAGAAATGCTCACTAAGAGGGATGTAAAGAAAGTTCTGCAATAAATTTGACAGAAATACACTATTTGTGCGTATGGAACATTTCTGGGATCTTTTATTTCAGCTTGTGAAACATGGGACAAACACTTCACATGTTGCGTTTATATTTTTGTTCAGTATAATACTTTTAAATAAATGACGGGGAGTGAACAAGTGCACACTTCTGGAGAAGTGTCGAGAATTAGAACGCAACCATGGAAGGTAGACAAATAATTCAATAGACACCTGTGTTTAGGTGTGGTCTCAGAGTTATGAGGTTATTCCAGGTTACCACTAGGGGCTGCTATTGGGTTACAATCACATCAACAATTGAGAGAAACAATCAAATATGAGCACATCGCAGAACAACATATATGTTTCATGTCAGCTTGTTCACAGTCTTCATTCACTCTATCTCCTCTGAACCCTAAACAAATGTGACAACATTTGGGGTTGAAATAATACATTGTTCTAACTGTGGTATGTTGAAAAATACATAACTCTTTATATAAGAAGAATAATAACTATCGACTGTGATGGGTACATCCCTATTGTCTGGTGCTGTACCTGAAAAGCAGACGTTTCCAGTGTGAGCAGTGTGAGATTATAAGATAGCCTTCTTTGTCCTGGTTGTCAAACCGCCACACTAAACAAACATGGACATCAACAGGTCAGAGAGAAAATAAAACATTTTATTGACAGTCTAAATCATTTGCTGCTCTCAGAAACAGTGTCTGCTGGATGGTTGTGATATATTAGTATTGCCTTGTAAGCTTTGATAAGCTAATTTGCTTGAATATTCATTCAGTAACAACCAAAATGTAGGTCGGTGATTTTATGGGGAAAAAACCCCATCTTTAAATATTTACATTTCACATATTATAACAATGTTTGCATCAAAGGATCAGAGGTCGTTGTTGCAATACAGTCTTCTATAATATTACCTCCACTGTTTGGTTCTCCACTGCGCCAATCCAGATACGTCAGTGGCTCATCATTCAAATCTACCCAAACACCCTCAGTTTTCCTGTCTGTTGCTCCCAGGAAACCATAAGAAGCACCAACAATGAATTTGGAAAGAGCTTGGTTCTCCACATCATTCCTTGGTATGGCCATTGTCACACCAAAGTTGTTGCAGAACTTCAAACCTTCTGGAAGACCCTGAAGCTTGCAGCATGAAATAAATAATGTCATACTATCTGTGAGTGATACCGACCGATTTCCTTGTTGAATGTGAATATAAACATGAAACATACTGAGTGTACAAAACATTAGGAACCACTGCTCTTTCCATGACATAGAATGACCAGGTGAATACAGGTGAAAGCTATGATCCCTTATTGATGTATCTGCTAAATCTACTTCAATCAGTGTAGATGAAGGGGAGGTGACAGGTTAAAGAATCATTTGAGATCATTGAGAAATGGATTGTGTATGTGTGCCATTCAGAGGGTGAATGGGCAAGACAAACAATTTAAGCGCCTTTGAACGGAGTATGGTAGTAGGTGCCAGGTGCACTGGTTTGAGTGTGTCAAGAACTGCAATGCTGCTGGGTTTTTCACACTCAACAGTTTCCTGTGTGTATCAAGAATAGTCCACCACCCAAAGGACATCCAGCCAACTTGACACAACTGTGGGAGGAATTGGAGTCAACATGGGCCAACATCCCTGTGGAACGCTTTCGACACCTTGTAGAGTCCATGCCCCGATGAATTGAGGCTGTCCTGAGGGCAAAAGGGGGTCCAACTCAATATTTGGAAGGTATTCCTAATATTTTGTACACACAATGTATGTATATTTTGAAATACATTTACAATTTCTATATTTTTTGGAACATTATTTTTCAAAAGAGAAAGTCTTACCTTTCTCAAGATTAGCCTGTCTGGCTTTGAGCTGTTGGATCTCAGCGAGTAAATGGCTGATCACACTGTTTCCCCCTGCATCTGAAAGAACATGATACATTTCTCTATCACTGTCTATGTTCTGGATTGCATCTCAACAGGTACTATCCCAACAGGTTAAGGACTGTTGCTTACCTCCTGGCTCCCCTCTCTCCCCTTTAGGTCCAGCTAGCCCCACATCACCAGGGGGTCCCTGAGCCCCTATTCCTCCTATAAGAACATAAAGAAAAATACATTTTAATCTTGTACAGATCATTCCTCAAATGTGTGTTTTTTCTTCTTTTTTTTGTATTGGGAACTGTGCCATGCCTTGATGCTAGTTAACCAGTTCTTTAATGTCCCCAGCAGTGTTTCCTTTCTCTCCCTTGGGTCCTGTGACTCCTTCATGCCCGTCCCGCCCATCTCTCCCAGGCAGACCGTTATGACCAGGTGTGCCAGGGACACCGGGATAAGCTTGGCAGCTCGGGCTGGAAGTGGGAGGGGGAGGGGTTTGCTTTTGGGGTTCACCTGGCAGGTAGAGAGTCAACTGTGAGGTCAGCAGAATGCTGAGAAATAACCGGGGCAGCGCTATCTAGTGGTATCTGTGAGGAGAACAGGCTCAGAGTCATTGGGATTGCATGGTGGAGGTAACATCAACCCAACCTTTTGCCTGCAAAAAGGCTATTTGGACTCTCCTGGTGCAAAACAATATTTCATTTCAGAAGTGGTTAAAATTAGGTTACGGTTAGGGTTAGTTTCAGGGTTAAGTTATTGCAGGTCAGGAATGTCATTATTGCCATTCCCTCTTGCCTGCAAAAATGTGGCCTGGGCCATAGCTACAGGAAGTAGATGTATTTATTAATACAAAATTAAAACAAATGTGACACTTTTTTTCTCTCACAAAAGTAGTGCACTGGGCCTTTACTAGTTCAATATTAGTGGACAGATGATAGCCTTTTTTATGAAAATTTGACAAATGCTGGAACTGTTCTAGCCATGACCCGTCTGCAGCTGACACATACAAACATTATAATAATAGGTCTGGAAGAAAACGAACAAATGTAGATATTTTTGTGCAACATTTCCCAAACTCGGTCCTCGGGACCCCAAGGGGTGCACATTTCGGTTTTTGCCCTAGCATGACACAGCTGATTCAAATAATCAACTAATCATACAATTTTTATTGTTTGAATCAGCTCTGTAGTGTTAGGGCAAAAACCAAAACGTGCACGCTTTGGTGTCCCGAGGACTGAGTTTGGGAAACGTTGCAAAAGAAAAATCTAAAATGTGTTAGTTTTCTTCTACACCTAAATGTTTCACTTCTGATGTGATTTAAGCATTGACATGGACTCAGAACATTCAATATAGTTTTTTCTCTATGAACAACTGTAATTTTGAGAGTGAAAAACTAAACAAACATCTAAAACCATGAAAAACAAAAATGAGTTGTTTTTAGAGTTGTTTATTAACCATTATTTTACCAGGTATATTGACAGAAAACAGAGGACCCGGGGAATAGTTACAGGGGAGAGGAGAAGAGAAGAATGTGCCTATTCGAAAGCTAGAAAAAAATTTATAGCTTGCGACATGTTTCATTTTTTAAAAGTAACTCTCATTCTAGAAAGGTTTGGCGACCCCTGCCTTACATTGATGCCTTTTTGCAAATTCAATCAGTTTTCCTAGTTGATTCAACGTTATCACAGATTTTTTGGGGGGTTACATTATGTGGGATCCATGTGTGTAGGATCCATGTAGATCAACATCAACCTCTAGCTCATTGGATCCATATAAAACACAGTTCAGACGTCGAATTTAAGGCGAATCGAACTGGATATAAATTAAGAGGGGGCTGGCACGGTTGAGAGCTTTTCTTGACATGTTGATTGGTTTCATACAACCGCTCTCAACAGTGCATATTTCTTTGTTGGTTTTGGGTCGAATTCAGGCATAACAGCGTCCTCTTCTGTGTTAAAGAAACCACCAAATGTATTGCACTAAAAAGGCAAAGAAAGACAATTCACACACCTGTGCAGCGCAGAAGTTAATGTTTAAAACAGTGAATACGATTGGTGTAATGTGTCTCAGTTAACTTAATGTGTCTTCGGATTTCATAACTCCCTTTTACTAAAGGAATCATCCATAAAATAAACCATGAGATATGTTAGCGATAGCGATATTATTACTGTGCGACGTAGACGTTCTATTTCCTCCCGAGATTGCAAACCAATTCTTATGTTGATGTAGTGCCCATCGGTTATGAATGTTTCAACCACTGTGTTGAGAAGTCTTGTTTTTACCGTTAGCTGGTTTCAGAGAGCACACAAAACTGCTTTTGCGCGCTGCATGAAACAGAGGCTTGCTTTGCCATTTCTTACGGTGGTGCTTGTTTACTAAAGTTACAGTAGATCAAAGCTGAATCAAAGTCTGCATCATGTTTTATTAGTATTCTACATAACAGAACAGAACCGAACCGAATAGCATAGTATAATATTACTCTTAGACCAAAAACACCACCTCATTTTTGGACAGGGGTGTCCGAGGTAATTTTGACCCGCGGGCGCATTCGGCTTCAACGAGGTCCAGAGGGCTGCACTGAAAATTGGTTATATTTCCTTGCATTCAAGATCTGCATTCAACCTCTATCCATAGTTTGGGGAATTTCCGATGCTCCCTGACTGTCTAGAAACGGTATGAATATAGGTCCATTATCATTTCTACACAGATTCGATTTGGTTTGAGTAATTTGAAAGTATATTGATTTCGTTATTTTTTACTCAAATCTAATGTATTTGTCACAAGCTTCATAAACAGCAGGTGTAGACTAACAGTAAAATGCTTACTTACAGCCCTTCCCAACAATGCAGAGAGAAAGAAAATAGAGAAACAATAGAAAAGTAATAACAAGTAATAATAAATACACAATAAGTGAAGATAACTTGGCTATATACACGGGGCACCAACACCGAGTTGATGTGCAGGGAGGGGTACGAGGTAACTGAGGTAGACTCAAACCATGGATCCGGCCCGTGCGTCGTATGTTTGACACCCGTTTTAGGACGATTATCTGAGTGGTCACATTTTTTGTTGTTGTAATGCGGCCAAAACTCAACAGCGTGCGCGCCACGGGGCCACTAGGCAAAATGCGTGCTTTGATTTAAACAAAATACAGACAGTAGGCCCATGCTATTTGTTACCACCATCTGCTCTAATTCAGGAAGCCATACAGTGAGGTCCAAAAGTATTGGGACAGTGACACATTCTTTTGTTGTTCTGGCTCTGTACTCAAGCATTTTGGATTTGAAATGATACAATCAGTAGTGGTGCTGGGTAAAATGCCCGGGGAAGGCAGAAAAAAAGCCAAATTACAACCTATGTGTTGTGATAATTGCGTTGTTTGCTCTATAACCTGTTTGCTCATATAACTTGCGACCATGATATATACAGTAGGCCTAAAGGCCGAGACAATAAGAAGACACAGTGGCAGAATAAATTCAACCACACTTTTGTTTAATCACAAAACCAGAGAGCAACCTCTGTCTGGTGAAGTCCACAAAGAATATTACATGTAACAAACAGTTACATGCCATACAGCATTGTCAAGCAAGTTAATGTTTCCGAAATGTTGAACTACTTAACAACTATTCATTTAGAACCACAGAGTGTTACCTCAAGTCACAAATAAAACAGGAGCTGCCTCCAATATTCCAGAACCATTTAAACATCAATATCATCAAATCACCTATGCCTAGTCTAATACAGTGACAAGTAAAAGATACCAAAAACATACTAGTCCAATCAATGTAAGATACAGTGAGGGAAAAAAGTATTTGATCCCCTGCTGATTTTGTACATTTGCCCACTTACAAAGAAATGATCAGTCTATAATTTTAATGGTAGGTTTATTTGAACAGTGAGAGACAGACTAACAACAAAAAAATCCAGAAAAATGCATGTGAAAAATGTTATAAATTGATTTGCATTTTAATGAGGGAAATAAGTATTTGACCCCTCTGCAAAACATGACTTAGTACTTGGTGGCAAAACCCTTGTTGGCAATCACAGAGGTCAGACGTTTCTTGTAGTTGGCCACCAGGTTTGCACACATCTCAGGAGGGATTTTGTTCCACTCCTCTTTGCAGATCTTCTCCAAGTCATTAAGGTTTCAAGGCTGACGTTTGGCAACTCGAACTTTCAGCTCCCTCCACAGATTTTCTATGGGATTAAGGTCTGGAGACTGGCTAGGCCACTCCAGGACCTTAATGTGCTTCTTCTTGAGCCACTCCTTTGTTGCCTTGGCCGTGTGTTTTGGGTCATTGTCATGCTGGAATACCCATCCACGACCCATTTTCAATGCCCTGGCTGAGGGAAGGAGGTTCTCACCCATGATTTGACGGTACATGGCCCCGTCTATCGTCCCTTTGATGCGGTGAAGTTGTCCTGTCCCCTTAGCAGAAAAACACCCCCAAAGCATAATGTATCCACCTCCATGTTTCACGGTGGGGATGGTGTTCTTGGTGTCATAGGCAGCATTCCTCCTCCTCCAAACACGGCGAGTTGAGTTGATGCCAAAGAGCTCGATTTTGGTCTCATCTGACCACAACACTTTCACCCAGTTCTCCTCTGAATCAATCAGATGTTCATTGGCAAACTTCAGACGGGCCTGTATATGTGCTTTCTTGAGCAGGGGGACCTTGCGGGCGCTGCAGGATTTCAGTCCTTCACGGCGTAGTGTGTTACCAATTGTTTTCTTGGTGACTATGGTCCCAGCTGCCTTGAGATCATTGACAAGATCCTCCCGTGTAGTTCTGGGCTGATTCCTCACCGTTCTCATGATCATAGCAACTCCACGAGGTGAGATCTTGCATGGAGCCCCAGACCGAGGGAGATTGACAGTTATTTTGTGTTTCTTCCATTTGCGAATAATCGCACCAACTGTTGTCACCTTCTCACCAAGCTGCTTGGCGATGGTCTTGTAGCCCATTCCAGCCTTGTGTAGGTCTACAATCTTGTCCCTGACATCCTTGGAGAGCTCTTTGGTCTTGGCCATGATGGAGGGTTTGGAATCTGATTGATTGATTGCTTCTGTGGAGAGGTGTCTTTTATACAGGTGTCTTTTATACAGGTAACAACCTGAGATTAGGAGCACTCCCTTTAAGAGTGTGCTCCTAATCTCAGCTCGTTACCTGTATAAAAGACACCTGGGATCCAGAAATCTTTCTGATTGAGAGGGGGTCAAATACTTATTTCCCTCATTCAAATGCAAATCAATTTCTAACATTTTTCACATGCGTTTCTCTGGATTTTGTTGTTGTTATTCTGTCTCTCACTGTTCAAATAAACCTACCATTAAAATTATAGACTGATCATTTCTTTGTCAGTGGGCAAACTTACAAAATCAGCAGGGGATCAAATACTTTTTTCCCTCATTGTAAATATGATGTGACTGTCCATGGTTCTGATTTCTGTGTGTGTGTGTGTGTGTGTGTGTGCGTGCGTGCAAGTAGAAAAACCATGTTGACTCACCCTACTTGTAGAGACACACCAATGCCATCCTTCTCTCTTTAATGTTGATGAAACGGTCTATCACTCTGTCATACAGTACACACTTTTATTTTTTGTTGTACTAGGCTACCTGGCTAAAATGCTTGCTCTCTAGTCTAACTTCATTTAAAGGGCAACAATGCGCCAGGCCAGCTAGTTAACATTAGACTACTACATCTAGCAACATGTTGAACTTCCATCCTCTCAGGCCAGGGGCACAATGTATGAATTGATGATTGGATCAGAATCGCCCTTACAATCATTGGCCATTACGGAGAGGGGGGTATACGGGGGGGGGGGGGGGGGGGGGGGGGGGGGGGGTATAGAGAACATAACCCTATTTGGTAAAAAAACAAGTCAATATTATGGCAAGAACAGCTCAAATAAGCAAAGAGAAATGACAGTCCATCATTATTTTAAGACATTATGTTTTTTGTGACTGCACTTGAAGAAACTTTTAAAGTTCTTGAAATGTTCCTTATTTAGTGACATTCAAGCGCTATGATGAAACTGGCTTTAATGAGGACCGCCACAGGAATGTAAGACTCAGAGTTACCTCTGCTGCAGAGGATAAGTTCATTAGAGTTACCAGCCTCAGAAATTGCAGCCAAATAAATGCTTCACAGAGTTCAAGGAACAGACACATCTCAACATCAACTGTTCAGATGGGACTGTGTAAATCAGGCCTTCAAGGTCAAATTGCTGCAAAAAAAAACACGACTAAAGGACACCAATAAGAAGAAGAGACCTGCTTGGGCCAAGAAACCCGAGCAATGGACATTAGACCGGTGGAAATTTGTCCTTTGGTCTGGAGTCCAAATTAGATTTTTTTTTGGTTCCAACCACTGTGTCTTTGTGAGATGCGGTGTGGGTAAACGGATGATCTCCGCATGTGTATTTACCACCGTAAAGCATAGAGGAGGAGGTGTTATTGTGTGGGGGTGCTTTGCTGGTGACACTGTCCGTTATTCAAGGCACATTTAACCAGCATGGCTACCACAGCATTCTGCAGCGATACGCCATCCCATTTGGTTTGGGCTTAGTGGGACTATCATTTGTTTTCAACAGGACAATGACCCAACACACCTCCAGGCTGTGTAAGGGCTATTTTACCAAGAAGGAGAGTGATGGAGTGCTGCATCAGATGACCTGGCTTCCACAATCCCCCGACCTCAGCTAACAAGTGCTCAGCATATGTGGGAACTCCTTCAAGACTGTTGGAAAAGCATTCCAGGTGAAGCTGGTTGACAGAACGCCAAGAGTGTGCAAAGCTGTCATCAAGGCAAAGGGTGGCTATTTGAAGAACCTCAAATATAAAATATGTTTGGATTTGTTTAACACTTTTTGTTTACTACATGATTCCATGTGTTATTTCATAGTTTTGATGTCTTCACTATTATTCTACAATGTAAAAAATAGTAAAATAAAGAAAAACCCTTGAATGAGTAGGTGTGTCCAAACTTTTGACTGGTAGTGTGTATATATATTTTTTTTTTGTTGGGAAGCCTGGCTTCCCTTGGCATCCATGAATACACACTACTGGATACAATGACTGTAGTGTTAACGTGCAGCCTATCAGCTTTAATTTGAAGGTATTTTCATCCATATCGTTTGAACTGTTTAGAAATTCCAGAACTTTTTGTACAAAATTTTAGGGGACCAAAAGTATTGGGACAAATTCACTTATATGTGTATTAAAGTAGTCAAAAGTTTAGTAGTTGGTCCCATATTCCTAGCACACAATGATTACATCAAGCTTGTGACTCTACAAACGTGTTGGATGCATTTTCAGTTTTTTTTGTTATGTTTCATATTATTTTGTGCCCAATAGAAATTAATGGTAAATAACGGTAAGGTATAAATTGCTAACCTCCCCTCTTATTGTAATGGTGAGAGGTTAACATGTCTTGGGGGTGTGATATGTGTGCCTACATAATTCAAGAAGATCTAAATGCATATTCCCATGAAACTGATGGAGACCAAATTATTGGCATGCAGATGCAGTTTGGACGTTTCACCTGTAAAACAAGAATAATGATTAATCATGATTGATAGATGCCCTATTTTCAAACGAGGTATGCCTAATTTGGAGTTTAAGGGTATTAAAAAACGAAAACATTTATTGAGACTAAAATGATTTTCAATATGCTACATCTGTCAGTACAAATATTGATTGAGAAATAATGACTTCATTAAAAAAAAGAAATGCTCACCGGTACCGGAAAGAATTTTAAGCTACACCATTGCAGGTATGGCTAAAGATCCATATCACCTATCAGAGGCTGGAGCTACTACGTAGCCATTTTGCCTATACATATTCTTTTTAGATCTATGAAATGCCTAGAATGTAGGGGTTAGGGGTTGCTGCTGGACGGGGCCAGAGTTATGGAGAAACCACTCTGCAAGCTTTGCGTCTGCACTTTAAAGTGACAATCAGTGGTTGAAACAATAACAAAGCCCTCCCCGTCCCTGTTTTGGTAAAAAGCTGAGGAATGGGGCTGGAGAAATGCTACCAAGCTCAAATTCATAGACAGAGCTTTGGATGCATGGACTGACAATCCATGATATCAAAATTATAGTTTAAAATATGTTTTGAGGCTCTAGTGTTTGTTTATATTTACTTTGTTTACAAACATTGGAGTAAAACATGCTTATGTTTTGAGTTCTGATGGGGAACAACAGTTGAACTACGCTCATGAAGCATTTATATGTTATATTCTCCAAGAATCAATGAGGACATATCATTCATTTATAAATCCAAAAATGGATGTAGCAACTGCAGATTGCCAGTTTAACATTTGTCAGCCACAGCTGAAATATCCCTCTATAATCAATAAGGCATGCTGCACCTGCAGCAGAAGCATTGTCCAATGATAAATACAAAACTTACTTACCTTTGTGGTAGTTCTCTATATGAAGCTGGATGAGCACACAGCACAATAGTTGCTGACACATTAAAGAAACTGAGCTCTGTTTGTGCCGATGTATAGTGTACACCAGTTTATAGCCTCTACAACTTTATAGTAGACTTGATACCTAATCATTACACAGATCAATAGTTGCTGTTACAGTAAATATATTGTTATCTGTGCCAATTTATAACTTCTGCAACTTTATGGTAGGGACTTGATACCTAGCTCTTTTATGTCAGGGGCATAATCTTCCTAACAATCAGTTTAACAAGCTAGGTAGTGGTCCCTTGTAATGGTTGATAAAACTGATTGTTGGGAAGATTATGCCCCTGTGACCTAGAAACCAAGGATCTTTGCTCTCTGAAATAAAATATCATATCATTATGGCCTTAACACAGTAATAGGAACCCAGCAGCCACTATGAGCTACACATTGCTCTCTGTAGATTATAGAACAATGACCCAGATGGTGCAGAATTATTCTTTTCTGGTAAACATGAAGAGATGCTAATAACCGAAGACAAAAAAGCCACCCACTGGGCACAGACGTCCATTCAACATCTATTCAACGTCTATTCAACGTTGGTTCAATGTAATTCCACTGAAATGAAGTGGAAACAAAGTTGATTCAACCAGTGTGTGCCTGGTGGGAATCTAATCTTAATCTTAATCTATACATTGTTAAGGCCTATGTCGGTTTGTCAGATTAGTCAAAAATCCTGCATCATAGTGTAGTGTACAGTATTACATACAAACTCACTTTTAGGAGTCTGGAATGATTTGACAATATCTCTGATTTATTCCATCATATTTCGAGTTAAATTCCATATGTTATGTCACACATCTTTCATATAATAACTCTGGAATCATTTGACAATCTCTCGAATGTATTTATTTTCCATTGATCAGTTCCTCTAAAACATTACAGAGCATTCCTCAGGAAAAGTTTGGACAGAGTGAAATTCCTTTTTTTATATCACACAACTTTCATAAACAAACTCTTATTGCGGAATAGTTATGAATTACCATAAAAGTAACGCTGAAAAAATGTGCATGTCAATCTTCTGATAAAATGTGTCATAATTTATTATTAGTACTACTAATTTGAACATTGAATTTTACCCATGGAAATGTGCTGAAATACAGTCTGTCTGCATCCCAAATGGCACCCTATTCCCAATATAGCGCACCCCTTTTGCCCAGAGACGTATGGGTCCTGGTCAAAAGTAGTGCACTATATAGGGAATAGTGTGCCATTTGAAACACAGCCCATTTGTTTTTCATGGGATTCATCCTTATGTTCTAAAAAGCAGGAAGCCCCTGAATGTGCTGCGGTTTTGGAAGTCTGCAAATATGTGTGAATGAGCATGAAGAGTCATGTAGACATGGTCTCCCTGTTCTAGATGTAGTGTCCCTCCATTACCCGAGCTGTCAGTTCTATCATGCTCTGAATGATGATCACACGCAGACAACATGCGCAAATTATTCTTAAACAGACTTACACAGACGTTGTGCTGACTATTGGCAAATGATGAGAAGCTGAAGTAGTAGACTCCTTTCACTGGGGCATTGAAGACACCTGTGGAGGAATAGCAGGGAGAGATATGTACTATAATCTTATAAATGCATTGAAGACGCCCTTATCAGAGGAGAGATCAAAAGCAACTAAAGCAAGAAACATGCATTATACTGTACATCAATATGTTCAATAGATATGACTACTTTGTTACTGAGCCTTTTAGATTGATCATTCACCCTTTTAACTTTGTGGGGAGTAGTGAACGAGTGGACACTTCAGGAGGAAGGAGAGATTATTGGGACCAAACCACTCTCATAGTTCTTCCATAGTATCTTCCAACTCTTTACCTGATGCAGGGTTGTAGGCATCGCCAACGTTTGTGAAGACATTGCTGAACGCCAAGTTGGTCTCTCTCTCAGAGGGCGGTATGTGGCCATCTCCTCCTAGTGCTGCCGAAAATGCAATCTTTGGTCTGTCTATGAGAAATAGTACAGATGTAGGATCTTAATTTGATCACCCTGTTGCAGGATAACTTTGTAGTGTATTTGAACACTGTAGTGTATTTGAGGATTAAAAAGACTTCTGAAGTTTGTAATTTCCACTTTGAAATTTCAGACTGGACTTTCCCTTATGAAAAATGTATCAACCCCTTCAAAAATCTCCATTCATAATAATCCACATAATAATTTACATTTTCTGTTGCTGCAGGATTATTTTCCTGCTGTAGCAAACTGGCTCAAATTAAGATCCTACATCTGTAAGGGTTAGAGAGGCAGCCAGGGTCAATGTGAATTTAACTCTTTGGGCCGATTTACCAGACACAGATTAAGCCTAGTCCTGGAATAAAAAGCATTCTCAATGGAATTCTTTCAAATTGACAGCGCTTTACAGTCCAAGACTAGGTTTATCTATGTCTGGGAATCTATTTGGTTATTTAAAACTATGATGCAGAATGAAGAACAGGGTATGTATATGGTCTCACACACTGTTTTCCGGTAGTTTCGGCTAAATCTATTTGTTAACCACATTGTAATTATTGGCTACTTAACATTATCTACCTTCATTCTGTCTCCTCAGTTCGTCAAGCAGGATTTGTTGTTGCTCCACTCTGAACTCAGTGGCATTGGCTCTAAATGACAATACTTGAAGCTTCCTCTCCTGTACTGGAAGAGAAATTTGAACAAATATATGACCAAAAACAGACAAACTATTATTTGTTGATCTTAGCGATGATGTCACTTCACACCATAGTTACTGTACCAATTCAGACAGAATACAAAATGTAAATCACCTTCATTCTCTCTCTTCATGCTCTTCATCAGGCTCTCACTAGTGCTCAGCTTGGTCTCCATGGCTCTGAGCTCGGCTGCTTGAACTATTAAACACAAAAAAGGTCTTAAGTGAGTTACATTAGGCAGGACTGAAGACAGAAAAAAAGGAAATTCACATGAGCACCACAAGGCCTATAAGTACACCCATGCTCTACCAAGGTTTTCCAGCACACAGTTTTGACCTACTACTGGTAGCTATGTTGGCCTACTGTACTTCAAACAACATGTAGGCAGGTTGATGCTATGTTGGCCTACTGTACTTCAAACAACATGTAGGCAGGTTGATTAGGATTCAAACCTTGTGAAACAGCCTAACTCATAATCTTAGTTGTTAGTCTGTTATTTCTTATTCGGAAGATTTTAATAGATTAACCAAAAAAGTAAGTTATTTGATTTAGATTACCTTCAGTCTCTCTCTGTAGAAGAGTAACAGTAGCCTTCATGTTACTCAGTTCTTCCACTTGGTTCTCTGCGGTGGTCAGTCTGGCCTCCATGGCTCCCAGATGCCTAAGAAGGTTACACATTTCCGGCTGGCAGCTACCATTTGTCTCGGCTAGGGATGGTGCTTGGTTCTGTTTGAGAAGAACTTCACTTTCTATGTCCTGTCCCTGTTCAGGCTGAATCTGTACCATGATGTCATTCAGGTTGTCTTCTCCAGCATCTTCACTGAGAGTCCCAGACAGACACAGCAGCAGGAGGGTCAGAGTCAGTCCCTCCATTCTTCAACTGGATAGCCTATACTTCAACTTGTAGTGTACTGGAAGTTGTGTGAAGATTTAGCTTGTGCAGTCCTCTTTAGTTCAATGTGTGCAGTCATTTTATGATAGCGTCAGGGTAAAACATTAGCCAAAAAAATTGACAAATAAGGAAATTGTATTATATAGTTCTGTGAGATAAAATGATTCTTACCAGGAAATGGAAACATGTTTACAATTCACATATTAAAGGTGAATTTAAGGTGACCTCAATCCTAAACGTTTACCGGCATCATTTAGAGTTTATGGTCTGTTACCTGGGAACCCAGAAACAAACCTTGCGTGTGCTGGCCAGCTACTTGATTTACATGTCAGTCTGTCACGAGACTGTAATGACATGTGTACTCTTTTCAACTGCTTGTCATGATTATATTGACTGTCTTGCTCATATGTTTTACTATGTTGATGTCTTTGTGTATTATTTTGCCAGTGAATAGCTCCTGAAAACTATACAAAACAACGCATTGTCATGTTTGTCTCTCAAATACAATTTAATTGATCTGGTTTTAATTGATCTGTGGTACGTAATCTGTCCCCTAGAACAAGTTTGTGAACTGTACATTATGTCCTGATCATAGGTGACCACAGGAGGTCACTGTTACATTGGAGAATGGTGGCTGTGGCTGTGTGTGAGAAATGGGGCAAATCAGTAGACCTACGTAACATTGTTGCAATTATATTCCCATTCATATTCCCATTCATTCATCATATTGTATATTATAAACTTTTATGAAATATAAGCTTTAAAAATACAAAATAAAAATTGGTTGTCGATGGTTTAGCAAGAGGTGGGCCCATAGGTGTGACAATGTGGACCGCAGATTATTAAAGATTATTCAGATAAGACTTGTTTTTTAGCCAATTTCCTTTTTGTATTAAATCAATTATAGATACACTACATAACCATGTATGTGGACACCTGCTCGTCGAACATCTCATTCCAAAATCATGGGCATTAAAAGGGAGTTGGTCCCTCCTTTGTTGCTATAACAGCCTCCACTCTTCTGGGAAGTATTTCCACCATGTTGGAACATTGCTGCGGGGACTTGCTTCCATTCAGCCACAAAAGCATTAGTGAGGTCAGGCACTGATGTTGAGCGATTAGGCCTGGCTCGCAGTCAGCGTTCCAATTCATCCCAAATGTGTTCGATGGGGTTGAGGTCAGGGCTCTGTGCAGGCCAGGCAAGTTCTTCCACACTGATCTCGACAAACCATTTCTGTATGGACCTTGTTTTGTGCACGGGGGCATTGTCATGCTGAAACATGCCCAAACTGTTGCCACAAAGTTGGAAGCACAGAATCGTCTAGAATGTCATTGTATGCTGTAGCATTATGATTTCCCTTCACTGGAACTATACCTAGCCCGAACCATGAAAAACAGCCCCAGACCATTATTCCTCCTCCACCAAACTCTAAAGTTGGCAGTATGCATTCAGGCAAGTAGCGTTCTCCTGGCATCCGCCAAACCCAGATTTGTCCATCGGACTGCCAGATGGTGAAACTTGTATCATCACTCCAGAGAACGCGTTTCCACTTCTCCAGAGTCCAATGGCGGCGAGCTTTAAGCCACTCCAGCCGACGCTTGGCATTGCGCATGGTGATCTTAGGCTCCAAGCTCCCGAGAACAGTTATTGTGCTGATGTTGCTTCCAGAGGCAGTTTGGAACTCGGTAGTGAGTGTTGCAACCGAAGACAGAGGATTTTTACTTGCTTCACCACTCGGTGGTCCCGTTCTGTGAGCTCGTGTGGCCTACCACTTCGCGGCTGAGCCGTTGTTGCTCTTAGACATTTCCACTTCACTCTAACAGCACTTACAGTTGACCGGGGCAGTTTTTTAAACTGACTTGTTGGAAAGGTGGCATCCTATGACGGTGACACGTTGAAAGTCACTGAGCTCTTCAGTAAAGCCATTCTACTGCCAATGTTTGTCTATGGAGATCGCATGGCTGTGTGCTCGATTTCATACACCAGTCAGCAACGGGTGTGGCTGAAATAGCCGAATCCACTAA